CCCCCCCCCCCTCCCAGAGCTGAAATGACAACGCCACTGAAAGGGCTCATTCCACCAGTGCGTTGGCCCCATACAGGGAACGCCAAATGGCCGGATTTAGGCCGGAGAAACCAGCCCTCCTGAGCTAAATAAAGCCAGTGGCATCCGAGGGCATTTGACCAGAAAAGCCCAAACAGCCCGTGTGTTCCGGCTCGTCAAGTTCAGCCAGAAACTGTGTCAAGGTGCTCAAAGTCCTGCTGATAAAGGAACCGCAACGACGACACAAAGAGGAGACACAAGGGGCGGAGAGTTCAGAGCAGAGCCAGCTGCACGGAGGAAGGAGGGACACGAGGAAGGAAGCAAAAACCTGCGCTGACGTGTATCTAAATGTTCAGCCGAGTGTGTAACACTCTACAAATTACCTGACGCTGGCTGTCACAGCAGCCTCCGGGAGACAGCACAACTAAGCCTGCTTTGATAGCCCGGAGGACGCGGCAATGAGGCAAACAATAAGCAGAGATGTCGTTTCACCCTGTGACTAATATGCCCAAAAAAAAAACACACACACAAAAAAAAACACAAACAACCTTTTAAACTGACAGTTTTGGAACTGCCTACCTGTGTCTGTGCTCGTCGAGTCCTCCCTCCCCGTGTATGACTGCCTGTCCCGGAACGTGCTTGCCCTCCTTGGGCGAGTCAATGTGGGGGATGAGCACGTCCTCCAAGCCCAGGTCGAAGCGCTTGTGCTTGGAATTGTCCGGCAGGAAAAAGAAGGCCCCGAAGCATAATGTGATGAAGGCACTGAGAATGAGGAGGAGGATGAACTTCTCCGACAGCCTCAACGTGGCCCGGTGGTGCGGGAAGGAGGAGGCCCCCGGCGACAGCGTGGGTATCCGTCGGCCCGACAGAGGCAGTAGAGCTGGCGTCGTCATAGCTTGACCGCTGAAGTGGACTCAACGCGGGGCGGGACGTGTTGGCAGGGGCCGCGGGCGGCGTCGTTGTAGCGTGCACCGGCTGGCGGACTTTATTATCTCATCTCTACGCCGGCGGGTCGGCTCACAGAAAACAGTCGAGGTCCCTCAGTAAAGGAGTGACGAGTCAGCAGGGAAAAGGTCATGACCGATCTGAAAGGGAAAAAAAAAAGAAAAAGCACACGACACACAGAGGTCAGCAGCAGTCGGTGAAAGCCACGGTGAGAGGAAACCTTTTTCTTTTCCTCGTTGTGAGAGGCAGCCCTCCACAGAAGCCATCATCTGCCCGTGCAGAAGCCCTGAACCCCCCTTTCACAGCCCTTCATTTGTCACTTCTCCACCTCGGCCCCTGAAATCACTACCATCATCTCACCGAGCGCTCCCAGACGGACTTCCTCTGAGCCTGAAAGCTCTAAATTACAGCGTCAAACGTGAGAGCAGCACAGCAAAACTGCAGGACATCCATCAACAGCCAGCCGAAACAGGAATAATCAACAATCTTCTTCCATATCAGAGCCTTTGCAAACGCCTGTACAACAGAGTATCTCCTTTCCCTTTGAATAAACTCATCTTGAGCCCGTTGGGCATGAGAAAAATGGCCACATTATCATCAATAGGCTTAAGGTAGCAGTATCTCGCAAATTGGCATTGCTGCGTTTTACTTAGCTGTTTACTGTATCACAGAGCTGCATATCTTACTGTGTCACTTTGGATTAAATTAGGAAAATAACAAGAGAGAGAGGCGCGATCACCCTGCATCTTCTCCCAATTCGTTTCTGTCAGAGATGACTGGAATAACAATTCGGTTCTGGTGGGGGGAGAAAAAAAGAAAAAGAAAAAAAATCCTGCACAAAGGAGCAAACAGTCTGAACTGCGATGCTTACATAAAAACGCCTCTGGAAAAAGGTCCAGGCTTTATTCGGCCGTGGCCGCATATACCGAAAGGCAAAGTGGCCAAATGTTTGCCTCCGATGCTCCAGGTGCGAACGTGAAGGATGGACGGCGAAATCAAGCGAGCAGCCCCGTAAAACACCACCATAAGCTGTCGCATTCACGCCGAACCGATCCTCCCATACGAGGTCGGTGTTTATGTGAATCTCCTCATCAGTTTTCCATCACATCGGAGTGCAGCTACGACATCTCTCCGTATCAACACGCAGAATACCAAGTTCATTCTCCGATAGTGGCAGCCTGTGCGAGCTGATTAGCCCGACGCGGAATGATAGCTAACAAGCGAAGAAGCTAACTTACCATGCTAATACTGGCTAGCATAAAAAAAACGAAGTGCAGAAAATTAACTGCCAGGTTTATACTCAAGCAAGGGGGGAAAAACAAAGATAAAAAAATGGAAATATCCCCGGGTCCGCGGTTTGGGCACGCTGACATATGAGCCACTCCGTTGGGAGGCAAACGCCGTGCTGTAAAACCAGCTAAGTGGCTACTTTTCCGTTGCTAACTGGAGCTAGCTAGGTGGCTGGTTTCAACTGACAGGCGCTCGCGCGCTCGTTCGCTCTCTCGCTCGTGTGCTGCATCATCACCACCTTTGGGAAAATGGCTCGCTTTGGGAAAATCGAAGTCGTCGGGATTCCCGGTCCGGAGGAAGTCGCCGGAAAGCGGGTGGGTGTCCTCGTCCTCGTACCGGCGGAAGGTTTCGGCCGCTCTCGTCGAGCCCCGCTGGCCGTCAGCTCAGAGCCTCATCGCGGGTGCTGGGGGGGACGTGGACGGCCGGTGCTGGGGGGGGGGGACGTGGACGTGGACGGCCGCCGGCTTCCGAGGGACTGCGGCGGACTGAGGGACTGACCGAGGACCCGCTGCCGCTGCTCCCGCATCCAGCTGCAGCTAATCAGCCCGCCCGCCCCGGGTAGGTAGGGACCATCTGACACATCCACGGGGCGGAAAAACCCAACGGAGACCACAGGGGGAGAAGCTGAAAACGCATCATTTTTAACCGTCTTCTCTTTTCTATTTATGGCAGAGAAAGTAAAATATAAAAAATAAAATAAATAAAAAAGCTTTGTGGAACTTTAATTTTCACACGAGCCACGTCTTAATGATGTCATACATAATAACACATACATACACCACTACTGACCTCAGCCTTTTTAAAAATAAAAAAAAAGCTTAAAACCCACTTTTTTAAATTAGCATTTAATTCGGACTAGGGTCTCTTAGGTTTCCTCCTTCTGTCTGCTCCTTTCTACGCACTTCTGGAAGGTTTTTAATGCCCTGCAGCGCTACACCACTACAGCATTTTTTGTTGTTTCTGTATGTTTTGTTTGTTTTTTGTATTGCTTTATGGCTTTGTTGTAAAGCACTTTGAGTACCATTTGGGTATTATCAATGGCTATACAAATAAACTTGATTGATTGATATGTATTGTATATGTATGTATGTATGTATGTATGTGTTATTTATGTGTGCACTTTTACGGAGCTGCTCTCCAAATCTCATTGTACTGTGACAATAAAGGTTTTCAATTCAGTTCAATACTGTAGTAATAATGTAGTTTGCAAAGCAAAATGTGACCGTGTCTTAAAATATAACAAACAGTTAACCTATTATGAACAATGTATAACCATGAATCCATCTGTTTTCTACAATTTCTTAATAAAATCATTGTATCCAGGGCCTAAAGCCTAACCATGCACTGGGCTTACACAGGTGTAGCATTATTGTGCTAAAAATACCAATAAAGTCTGAAAATTCCTCTCAAAAAGTACAGAATTCTCTAAATGGTTCTTTCTAGGGGCCAGATCAAGCATTCCCCACCATGCTGGAGAAATGTACACATAAAAAAAAACACTCAAATGGGTTTAAAGTCTGGGGACACCCCCCAAGTATCAACATTTTTCTGTTATTTCAAACCAATTAACATTAAAATGCTAAGAATTATAGCAGAAAGTGTTACTTGGTGGAGGATGAGCCAAATGCTGATGTATAGATGGTCAATATGTTTGCTTTTTCCAGGATTTTATAACTCTGTTTGGCCTTAAAACCTTGTATGGAAAGCAGAACTGAGCAAACAAGCACAATTTTTTTTTCACCTACATTTCCTGTGAACTGCAAATCCCTGAACAAAAGAGGGTGGCCTAAAATAGAGAGTTTTTTTTTCACTGGGCAATAAGCATATCTCAGCTGCGGTCTCTTACAGACACACTTACAGAGACTTTATGGTGGAGGAGAGAACACCGTGTCCTCTGGTTCTCTCCTCAGTCCTGTGAGCTCCAGAAATGAAATTTGTTATGGAGAAACAATAAAAAGAGACACTTTAATAGACGCATTTGTTTAAGTAAAGTAATAAGAGCGACAGTAAAACAGCAAAGCAACAGAATGGAGCAAATGCTTTCCTCCCCAGGGGGAAGTCGTGTTTATTATCACAAGGCCCAGATTCTAAAAACACACAGGCTGTTTTTTCCCATGTTTTTTTAAATAGTTATATAACCTGTTTCATTTGATTTTTTTTAGATGATTTCTGAAGATATTTTAAAAGAAAATAAGCGCGTAATTCAGTGTTCGGCTCTTATAAGGGCTGTCCTATTTAAACTGGGAGCTGCGTCATCCGTGTGTCTGTCAGGTGTCCAGAAAGGGAAAAAGTGCCCCGGACTTTTTTCTGAGTCTGACACAAATGAGCCAAAGGACGTCGCTTTAGTGCCGTCGGGGCCTCTTTTCGACTCAGATGAGTTGACTTCAAACGTGCAACAAAAAGCCTGTGTTACAGTGGGAGATGCAGAGTTGGAAAGAGGCAGAGGGCCCCGCCCCCCACCGACAGGATTCCAGCAGCTGCATTACTGGGAATACCGAATGCTGAGTTTTTCTGGAACCTCACCCACACTGGGGGCTGAAAATGTAACTAAATCGGGCTCGGCTTCTTTGATTTTCACTGTCGGTTTAAAAATTCAACCTAGAAAATGTGCGATCCCAAATGGCAAGAGCACAAAAAGATATTAAGAAGTCGGGAAATGTGAGGAAGGAAAGAAAAGCACATAAAACAGACACTTTATTTGGATCTTTTGATCATGCTTTTAGACAATCCAATAGGAATTTTACTTCCAGTCGAGGGCGTCTATAAACCGTATTAAATTTCAGTGGATGTAGAAAGTGGAATGAATAAAACTGAAATAAAAACCAGTCAAATGTCTACAAATAAAAAATGGGAAAATAAAAAATGGGACTGACGGCAGAGGGGGGGAAGGGGGAGGGGGGGTTGGCAGCTACTTGCAGCAGCTCGATTCACTAAACCTCCTGGATCTATACAGCCTGAATGGTCACAGAACAAAATTGAACAGACTTGTCAAATGCACTCTGCCTAATCAAAAGCAGCGAGTGCCGAGCCACCGGGAATGACGTCGTTTTTCACGTTATTCCTGCATTTTCAGAACTTCCGGTTCTGGCCTCCGCACAGCACTCAAACCACAAACCTCCAAAGGTGACCATTGCTCGTTCAAACTGACGAGCCTCGGAGAGCTGAACTTCTCCACCCGGTGGACTGAGAGCAAAAGGTGACCGCATAGACGTCCAACCCGTCATTTCAGCGTGATTGCATGTTATCTGGAGACGGCCGGTTTGAAGCAGGAGCCGGTGCGCAGACCTTGAGCAAAGTTGTTGGGGATCCTAAGAACAGCTAGAGAAGTTCAAACAGACTGAAGAAAATGTGGAAGACAGGTTGTGGGAATCATTTCACAGTCAGATGTGCATCTACCTGCAGGGCTGTTTGCCTCCCAAACAGAAAAAGTGAGTCAAATAGCTTAAAAAAAACTCAATACCAATCCTGATAAATGTGGAATATATAAAAATGTTCAAATTCAGCAAAAGAGATCACTCTAAGATTACGTATCTCTTACATGGGTCAGTAAGAAGCATAAAAGTGGTGTCCATTTCATGTATTTTACCTGTAACCTCTAAGATTCCTTAAGAAATTTCTAAAGGAGACTCCCTATGGAAGCCTTACTGAGAGTCCCACC